AAACATCTTCTCAGTGAGTGCAGTGACTTGGAGCCCAGAGCTTCACCTGGATACAGGTGATATCTGTGTCATCCAGGATTCTGTGACGGCCCCAGCACCTTGTGAAGGCTGGGTCATTGTCTTGTCAATTAATGATAGCTCATAATGTAGTAAAGAAATGATACTCATTCCAAACGCTTTTGCCTATTCTGTAGTTTGCTTTTCATTTTATTTATAGTATTTTTATATGCATATGCAGGTTTTGGAGCTTTTTTGTTTATATGCTTTATATACGTTTATATATTTGTTTATTTAAATGTAGCCAACATTTTTGTGTGTGTGGTACTGAGACTGAACCTCAGGGCCTTTGTATACAGCCCTAGCATTGTTAATTTAATTTAAAAATTTTGAGAAAAAGTCCTTACTATGTCAAAAGTTGCTCAGGCTGGGCTCAAATTTGCAATTCTCCTGCCTCAGCTTCTCAGAGTCCCTGGGTTAACAGACATACATCACCACACCTGGCTAGATTTAGCCAATTTTAAAATTAAATGTCGGGCTCTTGTACCAAAGAGACCTAACCTGGCCACAATGTAAACAAAATCGATGTTGATTTCTTCCACATGAGACATGTAACGTTGTGCAGGTGTGTTCTGCCTCAGGTGGCCATGCAGGAACCAAGTCCTGCCATCCCCGGCCCCATCTTCCCTGGGCATGGCCAGAGCAAATCCACAGCTCACCCATGCTCCTGGAGACAGGACCTGTGCTCACATTTCACATGGCCTCAATGAAATGTGGGGTACAGTGGCCTCTGCTTAGCCTCCGGGGAGGAGGAGACATGGACTCCAGCTGCACAGTTGTGCTCCTGGCCACTGCTGTATCTGTTTTGCGGGACTGGAGATTATGCTGCATGCTTGGCAGGACAGGGCTGTCCCTCCTGAGCCACACCAAGCCCCAGCTATGTTTCACACCAGGACAGAAGGGGGAGGGAGTCTCATAGCATAGTCACAACCTTCCATTTACTTCATCCTCCCTCCAGTAGAATTCCCCTCACTCCACAGGGCATGTAAATATGCATTTACATTTCCTTACACTTTCCTCATGATACTGACCTGCCTTCCTCCCTTCCTCTCTTCCTCCCTTTCTTCCTGTAGCCAGTGCATTAACCCTATTCTCCCCTGCAGTGTCCTCCAAATTAGTCCTGGGAACTTCATGGTGATGAAAATGGTTTTATGCTAAGTGAGTGACAAAGATACCAAATGGTCAGTATTTGCAGAGAATCCTGGGCCCTGGGGATGATGGTCCTTGATGCCATTTTCCTAACAATACCAAGCTGTTGCCTCCATTGTTATAGAGCTGTTATATGTCCTGATGGTATCAAAACAAAACTGGGTCAGAATGCCAACACATCGCAAAAATCAATCAATTGCGCCAAATTATACTGGTTGTTATTATATTTTTCTCTCCTTTGTGCTTGTGATTCTGACTTGGAGTTTTGCAGAATTAGCCTTTCAGTCCTAGGAATCAGCTCACTTTCAAGAAAAAAGTAGAAAAACACTTTCGCTCTCACTGGAATGTTGAAGTCTTCCCAACACTAAAAGCCCTTCTGATTACATTATTGGCAGTATTAAAAAGACAATTTAAATACACAGGGGGAGATCACAATATATGGTGAATGATTACATTTTAAAAATTATTATAGTAAATGACACATTGCCATTAATCTCCCTCAAATGACTCCTCTTTGCTTCAACCTCACTTACTCCATTATGCTTGTCACTTTCTTAAGAAATTCTGGAAGTCTTCTTTCCTGAGTGTCTTTATGAGGTTTTGTCAAAAATATGATGAATGCTGCTTATAAGTGCCATCCAGCAGAAGGCAGATTCATAAAGTCATGATGCTTGGTGTTTACCCACCTAACTCACTGGATCTGGCATGCTGTGACTTATAGCTCCTCCCCAAAGTCAAGGACACCGAGGCAGCCATGACAGCACAGCCAAAGACACTCAGGAAAGACAATTTCCAGAACTGCTCCAGAAAGAGGGAGTATTTTGAGGGTAATTATTGGCAATGTGTTTTTTATTGTATTAAATTAAAAAAATTAAACATTTACTAGTTTTGGTCACATCACATGTGTGTATATAGTAATAAAATTTGTCAACATTCAGTTTTTCATAAGTCACTTTCTCAATTCAGCTTCTAAAACTAAATTTCTAAAACAAATTATGAGTAAAGAATCCTTTTTAAAGTACAAGATAGACTAATGATTCTAACGTACCAATGTATGACGTACCAATGCTTCAGATTTTATGTTGTAACTAAACAATAAGAAGTGATCCTTTTTCAGATTTTGATGTAGAACCATGAATTATCAACAGGTACCTGTGAATGCTGCCTTCTTTATTATATTATGATATATTAAATGGAACAATAGATATAAAAATCCAGATGCCTTTTATTAAACCATTCTCCGAAATGTAAAATAGTGATATTTGTCTCGCTATTTTAGGGAAGAGGGGAAATGTAATTATTGTATGAAAATAATGCATGGATTTTAATAGCAAATCAGCTATTAAACTCTTTTTCTTGCCTCAGAATCACCTGGAGTGATTTTTAAAGCACAGATTGCTATACCTTGCCAGGCCAAGACCTGTGAATATCCATTTATAGCTAATTGCCAGATGGTGTAGGTACTGCTTTGATACTTTCAGGACCCCTGTTCTGCCTTTTTCCTTGGATATATTAGGAAAAAAAAACTGTTTTAGCTGCTATTTAGGGAAGGAAAAAAGGTCAAGTAGCATGGATATAATAACAGTAGCTAGTGGTGTCCTTAGTTAGCAGATGTTGGGGGAGGAATTAAACATTTCAAGAACTGTTCAGAGTGTGAGGCTGCATACTTCATACAAGCTCCCCACTGAGCCCCATGCACTTCTGTGAATGGTGGCAGAGACATGAGATTCCTATATCATGGACAGGAAGGGCTTTATCACAGCATTGCAGTCTGCAGAGAATCAGCCTTCTTGCAGTGTGGCCAAGTCCCAGTTCCTGACAGGAATGTGGAGACACAGGAGAGAAGCAGGTGGTGAGTGCATAAGTGGTAGTTACGTTATAGCGGAGGAAAGCTGAGTGGAGGGTCCCATTTTGTTTTTATAATGCACAGTAAACCTGCCTGGCCTTTGTGTGTGGGATAGGTTACATTTATTATGCTTCCTTCCCAGTCCTCTAGTAGAATCGATTACTTATTTCTTCTAAAGCTCTACTCTACACTGATATTTTTGAAAATCTGGTGGGCAGTGAAGGTGGCTGGAAGCCCACAGAGATTTATAGATCCAAACAGGAAATGCTGAGAATTTGTCTATGCTAATTATTTATCAGTCCCTAACCACAGTTTATTAAACATAAGAGCCTTTAGACTTCAGAGAGAGCACTGTAGGGTAAAGCCACACTTCCTCTCCTGGTGCTGTTCTAAATTATTGTCATACATGAATAAGCTGTCCTACAGAGTAAAATTCCTATGCCTACTGGTCTTGTAAGAGGTGTAAAACAAAATATTAATACAAATTAAAATATATTAATTTAAAAAATGAAAGTAGTATTAATTGAATATATAGTGATGTGAGGCACAGTACACTCCACCTTTTTCAGTTGGCTAAGGACTGGCTCGCCACACTCCTTTTGTACAAGCTGCTGTGATTACTGTGTGATCTTCACCTGGTTGTTCCTTTGCTGTTGCCTCATTAGCTCAAGATAGTTAAAGCCACACTGCCTGCAACAGGATTACTCTAAACTCATCTGAGTCTCCAAGACAGAAAGCAAATTCCTAACTGGCTCTCACAGCTGGGAGATCAAGTGACCCTGGTTAGGACCGGAGACATCGATTTCTCACTTTGCCCATGCCAGTCCTCGATGAAGCTGTCATTGGTCTTCTGGCTGTGTTACCCTCATGGTGACTTCACCTAGAAGTGTGAGCACACTTTCACCTCCTCTTGGAGCCTGTTCCCTTGTGTGGCTGTCCTTGAAGGCTGTGCACCATATTTTCTGTCATCTTTTCACTTCTGTGTTCTTGGTCACTGTCCTGTAAAAAAGCCAGGGAGGGAATCTGACTGGCATCTAGGTCCCATTTCTTTCTTGAGAGTTAGGGGAGGGAATCACTGTGTCTAAAGTGATTGTTTTGTAAGCCTTTATGGTTTATTGGTTCTATATAAATACATGGGCACATATTAATTTGTGGTATGTTTTACGTGATGTTTGCTATATGATGCATCAACATGAGGAATTTCACTCCCCCTAATTACTGGGATGGGCCAGCTGGAAGTGTGTGACTTTTTCCTTGGGGATCAGAGGTCATGTGATGTGCAGCTGACCTAGGTAGGGAGGTGGGCAGAAGAGTCCACCAGCTTTAGAGTCTCAGAGCCTAGGATTTAAATTCAGAGGAAGACCTGAAAATCTGGTGCCTCTGTTCCAACATGTGGTTGTCTGAGCGACATGGAACTTCCTACTATTTTTTACTCACTATAGAAATAAAAATAGGGCCAGAGATTTAGCTCAGTGGTTCCACTGCCCGCCTGGCAAGTACAAAGTCCTGAGTTCAATCCTGGTAACAAAAAAGAATAAATAAATCCATTAATAACTAATTAATTTAATTAAATAAAACAAAGATCCTGAATTGAAAAGTGTAGAATCTTGGATGCTCAAGTCCACCTCTGGCCTGAGGTGCTCCCTCAGCCATGCCCTCTTCCTGTGAGGCTGTGGACTTAGATGGATGGTGCTGCAGGCAGACCCTCAGGGACAGATACAGCTGTCCTCCCAGTGCTGTTCTGTCTTTCAGGGACAGCCCATGTGTAAGTCAACCCCTGTGTTTTAAACCAGGTAACTTGATACTTTCGTGGTCCTGGAGGCTAAAGCTCCAGAACTAGGTGTCTTTTTGTATTAACATGTAAACTAAGTAAGTAAAAATAAATAAATAGATAAGGCTGTATATAGCTGTTGTGGTACTTAATATCTGGACAACTAAATGAGTCAAGTAGAACGAGGTTTCTGTCACTCCACATATCTATCAGTCTTGTCCAGACAACATCGAACACCGACACATCAGTATTAACTCTTGTCACCTCGACGTACCGCAGACTGAAGAACGTGGTCCCGCTGTCGAGCAGAAGTTCGTACTATCTGACCAGTAATGTCTCCTTCCCTCCTTCCCACCCTCAGGCCCCAGAGCGACAGGTCACTGTGTGTGTCCATGAGCTCCGCTCTTTAGATTTTACCTGTAAGTGAGCTTGTGTGGTGTTTGTCTATCTGTGCCTGACTTACTTCACTTAGATCAGCATCTTCCACGTTTATCAGTGTTGTCCCACATGACAAGATTTCCATCTGCTTAAGGCTGAAAAGTGCTCCATTTTTTATGTGCGGATATATCCATGTGCATGTGTCCATAATATCTAATACATATGTATTATTATATTTTATATATATTTATACTTTTTTCACCGCATTTTCTCTCTTTGATTCTCTGACTGCAGATACTTTGGCTCTGTATTGTGGCTATTGAGTATAATGCTGTGCTGCTCAGGCAGCAGTATCTCTTAGACATCCTGGCTTTACCGACTTTATTTCCTTCACGTGCATTCATTCTTCACAGTTTTAATAGCAGGATCACCGTCACCATACAGGGTCCCCGGAGATTATGGAGGCTGCAACAAAGAGCCTCAACCCACCCCACCCAATAGGATTGAAGGTTTGTGGACTCCTGGTGCAGAACAAGAATTTTCAGGACACACCAGGATGAGACAAAGGCTTTTATTTTTGTACACACTCAAAGACATACAGTGCAGACCCTTGAAAAGAAAGGTGCTTTATTTCCTGGAAGGGGAGCATTTATGCTTCTCTTGAAGGGGTGGGAGCCCAGGAAGAGCCCCCCCAGGAGGGTTCCAGCCTGTGTTATAGTTTGGGGCCTGTATTTTTTAGATAGGTAATTTAAACGTTCTATGGATTCCCTCAACCTGCTCCTTTATCTGAGGATCTCTTTACTTTCTCAGTTAACCCAGTTTACAGACTTTGAGTAAAGTATGCCTGAGGAATTTTGGATGTGGTGGTCTAGAAAAAAAGGAACCTCAGTTTAACCAAGGGGATGATGACAAGAATAACCTTGGGTGACTTTGACTGGGGCCAGAGGTTGCTCTCTTCTTCAGAGTACAGTTTTTACGTATGATTTCCTTGCATCCTTCCTGTCTGTCTTTCATTTCTTCTGTCCTGTCTCAGTCTGACACCTGTCTTTGGCATGAGTGCCTTGGGGAATGGTTCTGTGGGAAGGGAAGATTGGGAACAGTGGATTGTTTTGAGAATCTAGATTTTGGTGTTACAAATTATTCCTACATCCACAAATGTTAGGTATATCCTATGTTCTAGAAATATGTTTGGACCTTCTCACGGGTAAATAGAAATGATGCTAGACTATTTTCCCTGTTGGGAAATTACAATTAAAAACAAACTCCCCCAACAGAAAAGTCTTCTTCACAGGCAGTAGAGAAAGAAGATGTTTTATTGGGACTCACAGAGTCCTCTCACGTAATCCCAGCCAGGTGTCCAAGGTGACCAGTGAGGAAGCCCTCAGCTCAGGTCGTGGGGCACCTGTGGCTTCAGACTTCATCTGGTCCTGCTGGCCATGGGACGACGTCTGTGTAAGCCGATGGCTTCCAGAGGAGCGGTGGATGCCATCTTTCCAGCAGAAGGAGTGAAGAAGGGAGCTCCTGCCCTGCCCAGCCTGGAGTGGGGCTGCTGTCTCCTGTGATGTCCACCTCTGCGGGGATGATTCCCAGATGTGGAGGAGACAGGCCAGGCCACCAGGCTGCAAAGGAGATAGATGCATTTCAAAGAGAGAGAGATGCTTCTAATTACAGTTTTTTCTGAGGTAAATGCTCCAAGGAAAGGAAGGAGGGAAGCCTTTGCTCTTCCTTCTAGCAGGGAGAATTAAGCCTCTTATTTTTAATGTGTGTTTGCTGTTGCACTCCTTTTATTTATCTCAAATAAAAAGACCTTAACTTCAGTAATCTACAGCGGCACAAGTGAGGAACAGAAGAGATCTTGGATGCACTTGCTACTAAGCTGTACCTCATTGAGTTTTATTGAATGTAAACTTTTAAAATGGCTAATCCCACATTAATAACCAGGGTTTCTTAAGAGGAGAGTAGCGGTGTCAATAGTTCCTCATATGATCACGTGACAGGTGGCCTCTGGGGTCCCCGCCCCACAGCCCAGAGCTGGGGTGTAAACGGTGGCAAGGAGCCCCTAAGCTCCTGCACAGAGGATTTTCTTGGGGGGGGGTCCTTTTTGTGTGTTTCTGATTTTGATTTTGATTTTGCAGCCCTGGGGTTTGGACCCCAGGGGCGCTCTGCTCTGCCCATGAGCTGTATCCCAGCCCTCCTTAGTTTGGGTTTTGAGGCAGGGTTGTGCAGGCTGGACTCAAACTTAGGCTCCCCGTGCCTCAGCCGGCCCCAGAGTGATTCTGGGAAGTTTACTCTTTCTCCATGCCCCGAGCCTTTCCTGTTTCTGAGGGGGCTCCTTGGGGTCCCTTTTTCGACACCATTGCTTCGGGCCAGCCTCTGAGATGCGATGTACTCCGTCCTCTCAGCGATGGGGACAGAGCCCCAGTCCTTCGTCCGCATTAGCGTGGTCAGCTTCCGCGGGCCGGCACTTCTAGTTTTCCTGTTAGGAGTCTCTCCTCGTGGAAGTGAGAATTGACAACTAATTACATAAATGGCTAAGCTTTGATGATTTTTGCAGTTTCTGCCTCTCCACGTCTGTTGCACTCAGAGCATCTTGTCACTGGGAGAGAGACCCAATTATGCTGCCACCTCCACTCTAAACGGATCGCAGAGTTTTTTAACCATAGCCATAGTCAAGATGCTCCTTGCACAATAAGCTAAGTGTCCCCCGTCAACAGTTATTTTAAGCACTATCAAGTCAATTCGAACTAAGGGAAACATCAGGAACATCAGGAAAGCCTTTTCTTGTTAAAGTATAGAAATCCTTGGCTAGGCGCCTATAGTCCCAGGGCTTGAAAGGCTGAGGTCGGAGGATCGATGCATTTTCAGGCCAGCCTGGGCTCCATAGTTAGCTCAAGGCCAGCCTGAACTGTACAGCAAGATCCTGTCCCCCAAATCCAGAAATAAATAAAAAAGTTTAGAAATTCTTATTTTTGCACAGTCCTGCTCCTTCCTGTTTGATTTCTTGGTAGTGGGGTTCTGAGCCTCCCTCCCTTCACCCGCTGTCCCTGGCTCTGGGCCTGAGAGGGGCTGAGAGAGGGGGCGGGGCGGCTCCTCTTGGAAGCTCCGTGCATCTGGAGTGCCAGCATCCCTGTGCCCAGACACAGGGCTGTGGCACTGCCTGCCACTGTGCAGCATGGGCCGTGCTCAGAGCAAGGGGACAGTCACAATGCATGGCGTTGTGGCTTCCACAGAGCCCATAGCATGGCTGTGATTAATAAATAATGGGCTATTTATGTTGAAGTTGTGTTTACTGGCAGATGCCCTGAAAGATTCAAAGGGTATGTGTGAATGATGAACGCCCTTGTTGTTTATTCAGTGCTCATTGCTGTTTTCCATGTGATCACATCTTGGGACGACTTCTTGAATATCAAATCACGAGGAAAAGTTACACAGTTTTCTCCCTAGATTTTTCCAGGAGGCCGTTTAAGAACGCCCTGTTTTGTGTCTTTGCGTCTGTGTCTGTCCCTGGCTGTGGGAGGCAGGTGGAAAAAGGAAACATCTGAAGCCTTCAGGCTTCCCATCCTGTCTTGCCATTGACAAAGCCATCTCAGGCTGGGGGCTGCTCGGCTGGCAGCAGGCAGCTGCTGAGCGGGTCAGCGGCGTGGCAGGGGAAGATGGTAGAGTATCGCCAGGGTGGCCAGAGGAAGCAGAGCCGGCTGGATCTTGGCAGGGAGACCATGTGCTTTGGGTTTGCATGGTCAGCCTGCGTGCCCAGCAGGACAGGAAAGAAAGACGTGTAGCCTGTTGTCCCTGACTCCCGGGCTCAGATGTTCTCTGTGTACATTAATTGGAAAGAGCCTGACAAGTCATCGGTCATCCATCCAATCTTTCAGAAAGGCAGCGCCTAAGGTTGAGTGGGAGCCATTTAAGAGGCTCTCACTCTGCAAATGGGAGCTTCAGTAGTGACATTTCCACACTGGAGTAGAACTCCAGGCACTGAAGCCCAGAGGAGCCCCAGTGGAGGCAAGAGGGAAGGGAGCTATGAGGGCAGCTCCGGGCTCTCTGCCTCCCTTGTGGGGTCAGGGTTAGGGTAAAGGGTTAGGGTTAGGGTTGAGGCTTGGGTTAGGGGCACGGTTAGTTCAGAAGCCTTATGTGGTGCTCAGCCCTACCTCCCCATCACCTGGACAGCAGGGCGCGGCATGTTCCACAGGCCATAGCCATAGTCACGTCATATCAGGCTGTTTTCTTGTGCCTTCTGCATCCTGCTGCCATTCAGCTCAGCAGAACCCAGAGGTTAAGAGTAAGATTCTTGGCCAATTTTTTCGTTTTCTCATATATTTTTTCCCTTATCACCTTGCCCCTACCCTTCCCACTTTCCCTACACCTTTAAAGTGTTTGTAAAAGGGGAAGGGAGGAGGGAGTGAAGGGAGGGCAGGGACAAGGGGAAAAAAATGAGAACCAAGACCTGTCATGTAAAGGTACAAGATCCCAATGATGAATGGAACTGTAGTGTGTACCTAAAATGTACCAGTGAACTCCATGAGAGAAAAAAGAAAAAGATTCTTGGGCAACCAGTTCAAAAATCTTCCAGAGCAGAATCTTCACAAATTTATAGTATAATTTAGCAGTAGAAATAACCAGTTTGTACTTGAAAAGCAAAGTTTTACTCCTTTAGGAAATACACACAATAAAACATTTTCTTCCTGCTTATTGTACTTAACTATTAGGAAGTAATAAACAAATGGACTTATATCTGAGAATTCTTTATATGTTTAGAAACCAATAAAGATTGGTTTTAGTATCATTTAGTAGTGAAAAAATAATATACCCACTATTTTACATATTATACAGTTTCCTTGTGTATTGCTTGTCTACAATGTGCCTGAGCCTGGGTTTCGTTCCCAGCACCCAAAAAAGAAAGGAAAAATAAAACATGTTGGGGCTAATGCACTGTTACTAACTACAGTGTTCCTAATATACATTAGGGCTTTAGACTCGTTCAGCCTTATTTCTCACTGTAATAGAAAACCAAACCCCGCTGTAAGATGCATACCTAGAAAGTGCGTGTTCACTCCTGCATGCATGCTTTTGTGTGTTGGGGATTGGAGAAAGTGAGCGAGGATATTAAAATGAGAGATCTCTTATTGTATTATTTTATTTTATTTTTAGGTGCTGGTGAATCTGGGAAAAGTACAATTGTAAAGCAGATGAAGTAAGTAGATTTGAAAGATTCAGTTTTTGAAAGTGTACCCTTCCATCCGAGGAACTGAAGTGTTGTGTGTTTTCCTTTCATCTGACTAGAATTATCCACGAGGCGGGGTATTCAGAAGAGGAATGCAAGCAGTACAAAGCGGTGGTCTACAGCAACACCATCCAGTCGATCATTGCTATCATCCGGGCCATGGGGAGACTGAAGATAGACTTCGGTGACTCTGCTCGGGCCGTGAGTTACGGAGTTCGCCGGCACAGCCTTAGCCCCAGGGGTCAATGAATGGCTTGAGTGACAGCACTGGGCTCTCTGTCATAGGCTCCTTGGTGCCACGGTCATTGCACATGTGGGTGGAAGTGGACAACAGCTTTCGCAGCAAATGGAATAAGAGTAGATGGGGTCACAGCCTCCCCCTTTATAGCTGCACTTACCTTCTCCATCAGGGCATTTGGATCTCTGCTCTATGCCCACCCCCATGATGCATCACACTGGGTAATTCTGCATCCCCCTGTTTGTCAGCTTTCTATTACTGTTACAAAATACCCAAGGCGATCAACTTAAAAATAAGAAAGGGTTATTTTGGCTTGTTGCTTTGGAGGTTTTTTAGTCCTGATTGCCTTTGGCCTGTGCTGAGGAAGCACAGCATGATGGGAGCCTAAGAAGGAGGAAGTGAGAGAGAAGAGGATGCGTGCCGTAGTCTCCCTAAGGACACTACTCCAGTACCCAGACCTCCCGTAGGCCACCGTGTTGTGCTAGTGTCACGAGCTGCCAGCAAGCCTTCAGCACACGAGGTTCTGGGGGACACCCTGGCCTCCTTTACAGTTTGTGTCATTAGCTCCGAGCAAACTCTATGAAATCTGCATTTATAATCGGAGAAACTGAGATGTTCTAATTATTTGTTTTCAAGGCCAGACTAATCTTAAATAAAGAAAGCAGTATACAAGTTTGTTTTTTTTTTTTTTTTTTTTTTTGGAATAAGAAAATATTGGCTATCAAAACAAAAAACAAATAGGGACTTACTGGGGATTTAGCTCAGTGGTTCCACCACCTGCCTTGGAAACTCAGGGCCCCAAGTTTGATCTCAGGTACAAAAACAACAACAGCAACAGCAACCATCAAACATGGATCAGAATTTCAGAGCATCAGGAACCTTGGAGATGAGCGAGCTCCATGCATTTGCTTTTCTAGTGGACAAGTGGAGACCCGTGGGAAGAATACAGTGCAGGGGTGGGGCCTGGGAGACCTCCATGGGCTTGGTGTTGAGTTTCCAGTTTGCTGGGGAGCAGGTCTGGCCCAGCCCTGGGGCACTTGGTCTTCTTTCTGTCCCCGGCCTCTGATTGGTTGCTTTATCTGTCTATTTCAAGCTGGTTCACACAACACTGACTCTTTTCTAATACCTCATGAAGAATTTGACCTGACCTGAAACCTTTAACCAAATCCTACTATAATATTCAGTTTTCTTCACAAAGTGGGTGCGTTTGAATATCAGTACCCCTTTGGACTTTTTATGTATTTAATGTTTTTTGTATGCGCACACTGTTTCTATACACTGTATTATGAAGATTTTCTATGTAGGGTCTGTAACTTTTTGTCTTAGAATCTGCTAGATTTTTTTTTAACAACTGGAAAATCCACCCTTAATAAAAAAGAAAAATGAGTGAAAGCAGCATTAGAGGATGCACATTGGAGAAATCAGTGTAAAATTAATATTAGTCTATAAGCTATTTAAAATTTTTCTTATAAATTATTAATTTACTCAGTTTATCCTTTTAAACAAAATTTAAAGGCTTACTGTAATTAAAATTTTCACTTGGATTTCAAGATCCTTTTTAAATGAGTTTTATTGTATGTATTTAAGGTTTACAACATGATGTTATAGATAGAATCATTACTATAATGAAACAGATTAACTCCTATCATTGTGTATCACAAGAGATAGAAAGAGAAAAGAGGAGGAAAGCTACAGTTTTTTAAACAAAAATCTTAATGCAGGGCCAGGGATTTAGCTCCGTAGTTCCACAGCCTGCTTCTCAAGTATAAGGTCCCGGGTTCAATCCCCAGTACCAAAAGAAACAAAACAAAACAAAACAAAAAACTCCGAATGCAATGGTATTAACTGTAATCCTTATGTTGTCAAAAAAAAAAAATCTAAAATATGTTGGTGAGGTTATGACAAAAAGGGAGTGAGTCCCAGTGCACTGCTGGTGAGGATGTTGCTGAGTTTATCCACCATGGAAAGCAGTGGGCGATTCCTAAAGAAATTAAAAATAGAATAACCACAGGACCCAGCCGTCCATCTCCTGTACGCGGCCAAAGGAGATGAAGCAGGACACTGGCACTCCTGTGTCATCACGCCATTGTCACAGCACCCGAGACAGAGACACAGCGTGTCTGGCAGCAGGCAAACGGCTGAGTGCATTTAGTGACGTGGGTGTGGGTATGCGTGTGCAAATGTACGTGTCTGTACACGAATATGAATGTTTTACACGGTGGAATGTTGTTTAGACTTTTAAACAGAGCCTACCATTTTCCACAATAGGGACTGAAGGGATCTTACGGCAAATTAGCAGGCATAGAGAAAACATACTCCTGCTGTCACTTCTGTGAAGTCAGACGAAACACTCGAGTGTACAAAGACTGAGAAGGTGTGCAAAGCAATGAGGCGGTATGGGCAAAGGCTACAAAGTGACAGATACAAAAAATGAAGAAATTCAGGCACGGAAGGTACAACGTGCAGTCTGTAATCAAGACCATTTAAGGTCATTCATTCATTTAGCATTTATTTGTTTAAACACACAAGAAGTATTTATTGAATGAATAAATGATAACCGTGTAAGCTCCAAATTGAATATTAGATAAGGCAAAAAGTATTCTGGATGTAATCAAGTCATTTCTGAAGCGACAGTTTAGAGGAATGTTTTGAATTATTGAAAACGATCCTGAAATTTTCTTGGAAATGTTAATCACACTAAGCTTTTTAATCTTTGTTTTGAAGGACTGCATAAAAGGAATCCACTTGTAGATTAAGAAGGAATTAATAAAAATTGTGCTCTACCACTTCCCATGATGGTAATTGAAATCTTTTATGAGACTCGTGTACGGAGTCTCACATTCAAATCTGCTGTGTGGCTGTAGGAGAGCGAGGTTTTGTAGCCAGTCTTTGGCGATAGCGACGGCTCAATGACGGGCAATGAAGCTTTTACGAAGTGCTTCTATTTCCGTAGTTTTCTCTCCATGACTGTTGTTTTGTACCCTTTTCTCTCCTTCTCCCCCACCCCTTCTTTTCTCCTTCCTCCTTTTCAGAGACAGTTTCACCCTAGACTCTGAGCAGCCATGAATAACTTCGTCCCCACCCTGTTTCTCTATCTGCCCCCTCTTTCCGAGGCTCTGGAGCAGATGCCTGGGCCCGCTCCCCTCGGCAGGCCCGGACTGTCTTCTCTGTGCAGACAGAGGGTCACTTCCGCTGGCCTTGGCTGTCTCGTGGCCTCAGAGCCTTCTCGCCTGCTCTGCCAGCCGGGCCGTGTTTCTCCTCACTTGGCTCTGGCAGGACATTCCCCCCAGGACCGAGGCACGGCAGACAGAAGCAGGGGAGAGGGGCGCTATCGGGGGCGCTGTGTGCAGAGGCCGCCCGGCCGCACTTCTGCCTCTCAGGGTCAGTTCCCAAGGTGTCGTCCCCGGGAGAAAGGGGACAAGGTTCATGGTGGTTGCAGATGAGGGGTCCGCACAGCAGCAGTGGGAAGCCGCGGTCCCGCATCTGCCTTTGGAGCTGACAAGTTCAGATGGTATCAGTGATGTCATTTTTAACACCTGACGGATGACAAGCACAAACTTTGCTTTTGTTTACGTTTTTAAAGATTTAATCCTTCTAGTACCTCCTTTCCAGTTCTCTGGTGAACTTGTGATTTCTTTCTTCTGAACTACTCTGCTCTCTGTTAAACTAACTTGTCTTCTCCACAGCGATTCTCTTGGAATATTACCGTGAAGTCTTCATTGCACACTGTGAATACTTTCTGCAACATTTTCTGAATACTCTTTTCTTGTTTCAGAACTTTGTTTGGCAATCAATTCTATGTTAGGTCTTGATAGAAGGGAAAATAGTCACTTTGCAATGATTTTTAAAATTCTTCTCTACTTTTGGAGCCACCCACCTCGGTCATAATAATTGCTCAATAAAATATGTGTTGCTGTTGCTGTCTAGAATATTACACTGCTGTCATTATTGTCAGAATCATATCATTGTTTTTCTCTCTTCTTAATACTAACTGGCAGGCAGCAGGTTAAGGCCACTCCGCCTCCTCTTGTCCTTCTGTCAGATTCCAAGATTCCTCTGCTTTTCCCTTTAGTGTGAGCTTTGAGAATCAGTTCTCTGCAGCTCTGTTGAAACAGAACAAACAAAAACAGCCTGTGGTATTTCAGTCAGGATGATGGCTCCCTATTGGGTTGGCTTGGCGAGGCCTGACCAAAAAGGGTATGAAATTTCAAGCGGTAGTGACTGTTAGCAGATACGCAATGCACATCACACAGCACTTATTTTAAATGAGAGGAAACATTTTTTTTAAGCAACTGGTATAGAGCCCTGGGATTTTATGCCGATAGACCCTTCCTCGGGAGGCGAGCAGCGGTCGCCAGGGGGCGCAGCACCGCTCACCTGGATCCCTGTGTTTCCTATCACGTGAAGTTTGGGAGGCCCTAGGAGGCCCAGCAGCCGCCCGCCCCGGTCAGGTGGAACCGCGTTGTTCAGGATGCAGCCGCGCAGCCTGGCCCTGGGAAGGGCAGGAGCGAGGGCTGGACTCAAGCCGAGGGGTTTATGCAGTTTGCAGCAGTGGATGCCACGCATGTAAACTCTGATCCCTTGGTGTATGCATGTGTGGCAAATCATTTCATTTCTTCTAATGGTGCCAGTGCTGGGACGAATTGAAAAAAGCAAAACTCAAGACAGGTCCTTCGCTGACAGTTTGGAGCCAGGAGCTTAGAACCCCGCTAGCTGCAGGGCGTGGCGCCCGCTGTGACGCTCACCCCACTTCTGCCCACGCTGCAGCAGACTCTTGGGTGGAGCCCACCTGTTCGTCCTAATAATTTGCTGGCTATTTTACCGAGTTTCTTGGTTTATGGCTGTCTGCCGGGTGGGCTCGGCTGCTTGTGAGCAAGGTTGTGTCAGTGCATATTATACAGTCTTTGAGAATTACCGTGTCAAGTCTTGGAGAACTGCAGTCTGGAAAACCAAAAACTGAGGA